GTCACGCTCAAATCCTGGGTCCGCCTCTGATTACAAATGCCTCCATTATGAAAGCATGTTTTAGTGGAGACATCAACTGACATAACTCATAGGGTGCTTGCTTATAGATCATGTCTAAGGTTTCTAATTCTTCAGTATATATCTTCCCTGTAACCAAAAAAGGAAACTACGACGAACGCGAGAGTCATTCAAAATGCTTGCAATGCATCAAAAGATAGACCTCCGCCCAAGAAAGCCAATTTTTAGTTGACTTCGAGAAGTAGTGGGTCATCTCCATTGTGAGTAGGGGGAACTTTTGATACTGTCAAGCATAGTCAACAACATTCATACCATCTTAGCTTTATCGCTTGATGAAGATTACCACTATAATCAGAACTCAAACACTTAACAGCCCAAGAGACTGTTAGAAAGAAAATGACCTCCCATAATAGGTATAGTGTCACTGAAGAGAGAGCTTGTGAATGTATCTAGATCTTTTCTGGCAGTTTTTCTAGTTCTTGTTTCTCGCTTTATTAGGTTTCTGGATTATATTCAAAATTGTAAATCTTGAATCAGTGAACCACATGATAATATCACGCTTGAGGCCTTGTTCTATCAATGGTTCATCCCACCGTATACACTTAAACGTATGATATATTAAACCAGCCACGGAAGAAAAAGAAAGAACTTAAAGCGGTAGAGAAAACTTACCTTGAAGCCTTGTTCATACACCTCATGTAATTGTAGGCATCACAACTGAAAATGCTATTATATTAGACACATTTATCGTCCTCATACAGTTTATCTAAGATCTGGGAACCCAAACATCGGTGAGAAATTACATCTAAGAGATAAACTACAAAGCATTCAGAAAGAAAAGAATATTAATAAATTTTGAAATAAGAAAGAAAATCAATGCATCATCTGTTGACAGAATGCAAGTTTTTAATTAATTCTACCATACATGGGGAAAGTACTTTAAAGAAGAAATAAAGATATGTGAACTTTATGCCTAGCCTTCTTATGTTCAATGTTGCGAGGTAAAGGAATCTACTGGCTTTATCAAATGGCAAATCATTGATAACTAAGCTTGAAAAAGCACCTAGAAAATTAGATGGAATGTATATTGGTTCAAAAAAATTTAAAACAAATTTAAAGCAACCAAAATTATTATCTCCAAAAGAGTATATAAAAGTCAGCTACTAATGCTCTGTGTGTGTCGATGAATAACATTTCCTAATATCAAACAAACAAAAATTGAGCATTTTTGGCTTTTTAAAATATGCAAGTATGCTACTAAAAAAATTAATTTATGTGCATAGCATATTAGTTGAGATGTCAATGCAGTAAGTACAAATTTCAGTGATTTTGCCAAATAAAATAAATCCAACCAAAAAAAGTTCTAATTTGATTGCTACATCAACCTTTGAACAAAAGTCGCAGAAGAGTGCTCAACTTTGTTCCTCTTCCACATGTTTTATCACTTTCTTCCAGTTTTTGGTCAGATCTAGGCATGGATTAATAGAGCTGAAATTTTTCAGTGGAGCTTACCTAAAAACGGCTGAGAAAACTCCAGCACTATAACTTCAAAATATTTACTAATAATATAAATAAGCGAAACCCTAAGATTATTTACTAATAAGCAGACAAAAAGAAGATCACCATTTATCGGAACTACAATAGTTGGGATCGTCAAATCCATGTGCTGGTGAATTCCTACTAGCAAGAGTAATCGAGGAAAGCATTGAGGGATACTAGATAAAGATGTTGAAGATGGATGCATTAGCTATTTAAGCTCGAGCATTGTGATGAAGAAAGAGAGGAGAGGATCAAGAAGAAGGAAGATGAACCAGAGCAACAGTGGCCAAATGATACGTGGCTACTCAGTTACACGGTAAGGCGACATTTCATTAGGTGGTCTGAAAAGACAACAATGCCCTTAACTTTTCCTTAAAGGACTTTAAGCAGACATCTCGAAATGCTAGCTTTTCTAATCTCTCTATCTCTATCTCTATCTCTATCTCTATCTATATATATATATATATATAAAGAATAAAGTTTGCATTGTGGTTAAGCCAAGTAACAAACTATAATTATAACGACTCGCCCGATCATTTTACCTTTAGAATCCCATTCCCTTAAATAAAAAATTTTCATGCTTGCTTTAACTAATTTACAACCTGCGGGGATAGTTGGTTCAGGATTTGGAAGAGTTTAGGTTGAATATGCTCATTTGATTCCTTAAAATTTTCTTAAAAGGCTAAGTTTGATTTTGGTCAATATTTTTAGCAAACGGACCCGGATTCGTATTTTGACGGTCCCGGAGGGTCCGTAGGAAAATATGGGACCTGGGCGTACGCCCGAGATCGAATTTTGAGGTCCCTACCCTGAGTAATGAATTTTTATTAGAAATTGTTAAACTAAAATTTTAAGGAATTAAAAAAAACTAATTATTGATTGATTTCATAGGTATCGGGCTCGTATATTAGTTCCGAAGCCCGGTACAGGTCCGAAATATCATTTAAGACTTGCCTATAAAATTTGGAGTCAATCCGAGTAGTTTAAGGGCGTTTTGGCCCGTTAGAGGAAAATTAAGAACGTGAAGTTCATAAGTTTGATTCATTTGGTTTTAGGGGGTGATTCCTAGATTTAGCGTTGCTTCGGGTGTTCCTAATGGTGAGTAGGCCTGTCTCGTAATTTTAGACTTGCGGTATGTTCAGGCAGGGCCCGGGAGCCCCGAGCATCAATCGGACGAGGCTCGAGTGAAGTGCAAATTTTTGGGAAGAGCTAAAGCTGCTGCTTCTGTCATAACCGCACCTACGGTTGGTGGACCGCAGGTGCAAGATCGCGGACGCGGTGCTCCCATCGCAGAAGCGGTCCAGGGCAAGCCAGACCAGGAACCGCAGAAGCGGCTCCCAACCTGCAGAAGCGGCTCCGCAGATGCGGCCTCGAGTCCGCAGAAGCGGTTCCAGCTCTTTTGGCCCATTTCGTATGTGAGGTCCGTTTCTTGCAGATGCGGGACCGCAGATGCAGAAATCGCTGAGGCAATGAGTTCATTTATTACGGGTTCTAAGACCATTTTTGCCATAGTTCACTCCTCCATTGGGCGATTTTAGAGCTTTTGAGAGAGGACCTTTACCTAGCATCTTGAGGTAAGTGTGTTCTACCCATTTCTAGTTTAATATCATTGTCTTAGGTAGATTTTTTTTTAAGCAATCCACTAGGCATAGCCTAGGGTTAGTTTTTATTAATATATAAAAGGAGAAACAAAGTGTCATGAAATCTTAAAAAGTGCACGAAATAAATTTTGTAAACTACATAAGACCTATTATCAAAGTTGAGTAATGTACTCAAAGTTGATATCACACAAAGTCTAATAAAATTTGTATAACTAAAAGCCAGCCCATACAATTCATGCATTAGTATACGCCTTTCTCCTTCGCATTTGCTTCTTTCCAGTTGCAATTTAGGTCCTGCTGTTTGCATACATAACTCTTTTCTATGTGGCTTATCGATCGCAACGTCAGTCCATTCCTCTATTTGTGCTGCTGCATTATTCATGCGTCCAATCTGTTCTTCCAGCTTAAGATTGTTGAAATTCATAAGCCACGCTTTATCTGCAGACAACATGTAATGTCGACCTAGTGGTGCCTCCTAGGAAACTGCACGCGTGCGCTGACTCTTCTGCCGCTATTGCTTAATGGGAGCAGTGTATTCCCACGTGTATACTCTTTTCGTTCGATCCCTTTGCTGTTGCTGCGCCGAAGATGAGAGCACTGGCCATTGTTTAATCACTGGCCATTATTTAATTACTGCCTTTGTCGAACACAGAGCTGGAACATCTCTGTGCTCGCACATGCTGTAATCCAGCATTTCTCGAATTGTGCAAATGTAGTGCATGCTCAAATGTCAAAGCATTCATGTCCAGCATGCATTACATTTCCAGCGTGCATTTCCATGTGAAACCAGGCGTGCCTCCCTGTTGGAATTTAAAATGTACTCCCAAAATAGCACGCCCCAGCTGCTTTGGTTGTGACAGCTGCCACCATCCATGCGTGCATCAAGATTCTTTGAAACAGGCAACTGCACGCGTGCGCTGATTCTTCCATCCCTGCAGTCCTTTTGATTCCTTGCATTCTCGATTGCGCTGCCCAGACCAGTTATATAATCCATAGAGACATGCTTTTATTGTAGAATCCAAAATCACGTGGCCTCCACTTACAGCTGAAGCATACGAATTGTATCCCAAAGTACTACCACAGATTTCCATGTGTATTACACTTTCCCATGTGATACTTTTGTTCGACACCATGTTTTGTCTTCCACGCTTTCCACATTAACCATGTGCGCACATGAAAGGGTTTCTTGAAATCACTACATCCCACAATGCTTAGTTCGATTTATTAAAATTAGCCGGATGTTTGCATCGTCCATAATGTGAGCTTACAACTTTTGTCGTAAAGCTTATTTGTATTTTGTTTCCAAAACGCATGCTTAATTCTTTTTCCATTCCCTTGACCAGATCCTGTCGAGTGCCATTTATGTTCCAGCAATAAACAATTAAAGAACTGCATTTCCTACAAATTCCCTAGTGTGCTGGTGAAAAATCCAAACGATTTGGCATCTGTTACTGTCCAGAACTTCACGTACCCATCTTGTTTTCCCATGCTATTTCAATACTTCCCTTTGATGTGGATGACAACCATGAAATGAACATTGTAAAAGTGCCAAAGCCCACCTTTAATGTCCTCCAGTGGATTGAATGCAATGCATTAATACCACCACTTGAGATTCAACTATAAGATTAGGCTTTAGCTTCGATGAAATACCTGCAAAAAAGTGAACAAAGTTAGCGTTAAAATTGCTATCCAAACTCTCCTCAAGAATGATTCGAGTCCGATAACAAAAAGAATCCTCTTTTCCTCCTAATTCCTTGCAACCTTCACTCTTATGTAAGGACATTACATCTTATCTTCGTTAATAATCCTCCTTCCTTTTGAGTCCATATCCTAGAAACCATGTCATTCAGTATTTCCTTCATCTAGAGCATAATTGGCAAGGTGGTCTGCTAATGTATTCCCTTCTCTGAATATATGTGTGACCTTGATGATACTTTGTTCCTTCAATCTTAAAATCTCCTCTACATGTTCAGTAATATACCAAGGAGGCTTCCATGATTCCTCTATAATGTTCTTTAATAGCATAGAATCTGTCTGCAGCCATATCTGGAAATAATTAAGATTTTTGCACATCTTCAATGCCTCCACAATAGCTACCGCTTCTGATTCATTGTTGGCTCCTTCAGAAATCTCCCTTCCTTCTGCATATATCAAATCACCTACCTCATCCCTTATGCAGAAACCAATTGAACTCCTCCCTGGGTTCCCTCTACATGCTCCATCCGTATTCACTTTGATCCATCCTCTTGAAGGAAATTCCCATAAAACTTTATCATATTTCAGTTGAGGTGTGTATTGCTCCATCATTGTCAGTAAGTCCAGCCACTTCTGAGGCACACGTAGTCCAGGCTTTTTCAGTTGGACAAGTGCTTGCACAGTAGACGACACCTGGTAAATAACTCTGCTCACTGACACTGCTTCTCCATATTTCAAACTGTTTCTTCTCTTCCAAAGTTCTCATACAATGCATGCAGGTAAAGCTTGTAATACTGGCTTCAATCTAGGTACAACTGGTCCTGTCCAACACTTTGTAATTGCTTGATGTAATGACAACCCATCTAATGCAATTCTTGCTCTCCTCAAGAAGTAAGTCCAAACACTTCTAGCTGCATTGGATGTGAAGAACAGATGTAGTAATGACTCCTCCTTAGGATCAGCACAACGCCAACATTTAGATGGCATTGAGTATCCTAGTTTACACAAGAAATCATCAAGTGGCAGTTTGGCTTTCCACACCTTCCACAGGAAGAAGGATATCTTGAAAGGTAAACCTTTTACCCATATCATCTTGTAAGCTAATCTTGGGTTGGCTCTTCTTCGCACGTAATCCCATGCAGACTTTACTATAAAATGTCCCCTTGTTTTAAGCATCCAGAAAGGAGTATCTAATTGTGAACTTTCAATTGGTGGTCTAATATTCTGCACAATGTGGTGTGCCAAATCTTCAGGTAGGCTCTCAAACATTTTATCCACATTTCACATACCATTTTCAACCATATAATTGACATTATGAATATCCTCATCGATACCAAACTCTGCAGGTACTTGAAAATATAAGGCTTCCATCTCAGTCCAATTGTCGAACCAGAATAGAGCTGATCCCATTCTCAGTTTCCAGTAGATTTGATGCTCAATCAAGTCCCTACATTCTAGCATTTTTCTCCACGCGTGGGATCCACCCTTCCAAGGTACAATTACTGCATTTAGTTTCTTGCAGTACTTTTGACTAATAAATGCACTCCACAAACTGGGCTTTGTCCTGAAATTCCACCACAATTTGCAGAACAGTGCCTTGGATACATCATGTAGGGACCTGAAACCTATGCCTCCCTCCTCATAAGGCATACAAAGGTTAGTCCAAGACGCCCAATGTCTAGTGCTGCCTCCCACATTGCTGCTCCAGAAAAACTTGGCAAAAATGCTATGTAATTTGTTGATCACATAACTTGGTGGATTAACTGTTGACAACATATGAATTGGGATACTCTGTAGGACATTTGCGATCAAAACCGCTCTGCCTCCTACAGATAGGAGTTTGCCTTTCCATGACTGCAGTTTGTCTATAACCTTGGTGATTAATCTCTGGTAATAGTCTCCCCTTCTTCTTGCATATAAAATAGGACATTCGAGATAGGTCATAGGGAAACCTTGTCTTCTTATGCCTGTAATCCTTTCCACCTTGTTAATCACCTCATTATCCGTTAAATGATGCAGGTATATGGCTGATTTGGCTTTGTTCACCAGTTGACCAGATGATGATTCATAAGCTTGCAAAACCTCCATGACAAGTCTCAATGAAGTTTCATCAGATGAGCAGAAAATGATCGTATCATCAGCGTATGATAGATGATTTATTTTTGGGCTCCATTTTGGAATTCCAAATCCACAGAAATACAGGTTAGTGTGTAGTGAATTCAATCCCCGAGAAAGTGCTTCTGCTGCTAGAATGAATAGAGTTGGTGACAAAGGGTCACCTTGTTTAACTCCCCTCGATGATTTGAAGAATCCATTAGGCTGACCATTTATAAGAATAGAGTACCAATTGTTCCCAATCAAATCAAATATCAAGCCAATAAAAGCTTCAGGAAATCCCATTTTCCTTAGTATTTTGGTCAGGAATAGCCATGATAGCCTATCGTAAGCTTTTGTCATATCAAGCTTAATCACAACGTTTGGACCTGCTTTTGTTCTCAACCTGATATCCTTAATGATTTCTTGAGTTAGCAGTACGTTCTCAACTATGCTTCTGCCCTTCACAAAACCTGCATGTTCCTCTGAGATTATGTTTGGTAATAATTCAACCAACCTCTCATGAATAACCCTAGAGAAAATCTTGTTAGCAAAGTTGCTAAGACTGATTGGTCTCATGTCCGCAAAGGTCGTAACTTCTTTTTTCTTTGGTAATAAAACCAGGTTTGTGTGTGTCACACTCTTTGGCAACTGCTGACCGCAAAAGAAAGCCTTGACCATGCGGACTACATCTTCTTCAATAATTTCCCAGCATGTTTGGTAAAAGGCTCCAGTGAATCCGTTCGGTCCACCAGCTGAGTCCCCATTCAACCCCATAATTGCTCTCTTCACTTCTTCATTGGAAGGCAAAGCCATCAGTCTTTCATGTTGATCACTATCTACTATTGAAGGTACATGATTTAGAATATCAAAATCATTTGGAACTGCACTCTCTATAAATTGATCCTTGTAGAACTTTACTGCTTTTTCTGCTATTAAGTGATCTTCTTCAATCCAGTTACCAAGGCTATTCTGGATCCTTGATAATTTCAGTCTCTTCCTTCTCCCATTAACTTGAGCATGGAAGAATTTAGTGTTTCTATCGCCATCTTTGAACCATAACATGCCTGCTTTTTGTCTCCAGAATTCTTCTTCTAATGCAAGATATTTAATCATTTCAGCTTGGACCTGTTGTAATCTTTGTCTATTCATCTGTGTAGGATTGACTTCAAATTGTTTTTCATGAACCAAGACCACCTCCTTAAGGCTTGCAATCTTCTGAAATATATCCCCATATGTAGCTCTGCTCCAGGTAGATAGTGCTTGTTTAAGTTTCTTTAACTTGTAGTTAAAAATGCAGAAAGGGTTAGCACTAAAATCAACATTCCAATTCTCCTTTACTATATCTTTGAAGGTTTCATGCTTTGTCCAGAAGTTAAAAAATCTGAATGACTTATTAATTGGAGGAGTTACTATATCACATTTCAGCAGCATTGGGCAATGATCAGACCCGATTTTGGATAGGTGTGTTATCTCCAATCCAGGAAAGGTCTGTTGAAATTCATTATTGCCAAAACATCTGTCAATCTTTTAAAAATACAGTCCTCCTCTGATCTTCCATTCCACCATGTAAATATGCTTCCTTTAAAACCCAAGTCTGTCAAGTTGCAGGTACTTCAATGAGGGAAACTGACAATCCCCCATATTTCTCTTCCTCATCCCATATCACATTAAAGTCGCCTCCATCTAGCCAAGGTACTGTCATATCTGATGCCATTGCATACAACGAATCCCATAGTTCTATTCTTTCAGTGCGATCACATTTGGCATAGACTAGTGTAAGGATGGGCTCAACATGTGTTTCAGAGTGCATTAATCTCAAAGTCAGCTGTTGAGTCATGTTATATAAAATAGTAACCTCAAAAATTTCATCAATAAAAGCCCAAATCTTGTTTGACACATTCACCACAGCCTGTGCCAAACCAATTCTTGCTATATACCTCTCCATTTTATAAGACTGTTGCATAGGCTCAAGGATTCCTATGAACTCAAAATGATGTTTTCTGTGCATTGTAATCAGTCTTTCAAATGCTTGCATTGTGTTTACTGACCTGACATTCCATATAATGGCATCCATTAAATGTTTTGGGATTTGGACAGTGTTCTCCTTATTTGTACTCCACTAAATGGGACAGTAGAAGTCTCTTTTGACTGTTTCTTTTTTCCCTTTGCTGCAGATTTTACTAGTTCAATAAGCCTTGGCGATAGATCTCCCTGCTTGGAAACATTAAGGAAATTTCGTGCAGTGGATTCCTCATCCATGTCTCCACCTTTAAGTTCTGCGTGGTTAACTTGATCATGTGTTTCTACTTCTTCTTTTGATGTAACAATATCCTCTGCCTGGTTGATAAGTTCAACATCTTTTGCAGCATGTTCATTGGTCAACAACATTGTATTGTTTAGTGGAACGTTACTTCCTGCTACATCCTGCACGGTGCTCAATGGAACAGTACTTCTTGCATAAACCTACACTGTCATAGCTCGGTTCTTGTCTGCATTCTTGTCTTGTTTCTTGTCTGCATTTTCAGCTTCTTTCAAGACATTACTAACAGAATTATGTGAAGTCCCTCCTGGATCTATAATATTAATGTTCCCCTCTTTTGTCTTTTCTGTTGCTGCATTTATGCATTCGCTGATGCTTTGAATATTGATTGCATTGGCATTACAATTAAAACTTTGATCCTCATCTTCCACTTCATTTCCTCCAACTTCTTCCTCACTATGCATTGTATCTGGAATCTGACCATCTGCTAGGTCTTCCTCTGTTTGGTTGAGCCATAATCTCCCTCCTACCCATTTTTCTTTTTCATTGGTCATGAATTTCTCAAAATCTGTATCTTCAACAAATTCATTTTCTTTGTTGTTTGCTAATTGTTGTTCAACTTTGGTGTTCTGTGAAGGAATGTCTTGACATGTAGTATTGACTTGAACTACATTATTTTTGAATGCTTTTTGGACCCAATGGGCAGTTGACTCATTGTAAAAATGATGCTCATTCCCCAAATCTTTTTGTACACCATGAGCTGTTGCTTCCCTATTTGATGCATGATTTTTTATTGCTGTAGGATTGAAAGTAGGTGCTCCAGGGTTCAATTTCTTGGGTTGTGTCTTGGATGATTGTCTCCTAGATGAGCTAGGAGAAGTTACCTTTTGTACTATTTGTGTAGTTGAAAAATCAAATTCCTGCTCCTCTGACTCATTCTCTACACCTGCTATGGAATTATTTTGCTGAATTTCTAGCACTGCAAATTGGTTGGTTGTTCGTATTTATTTTGTCACAGCTGTATTGTTAACAAGAACTATTTCTTTCCCTTCTGCAGTAGTACCTTCAAATTGTTTGCCTTTATTTAGTCCCCTATTGTCTCGAACTTCTTTCCATCGAGGGCCTGCATTACCAACTACCTTACCACTAGTAAGGATCATCAAAGGAGCATCATGTTTTGCCGGTTTCTTTGTGCCTTGTTTCACATTTTCGACATTTTCCTGCTGCTGGACATTTTTGCTTTCCCTTAAATCAGGATTAATTCTCCAACATTCAAGTATGTCATGGCCTTGTAACTTGCACTCTTTACAGTACTTTGGAAAATAATCATAGTTAATGGTTACCCATTCAATTCTAACATCCCCATTTACTTCATTGACAATGTCCATCCGAACTTTCTTGGGGAGGTTAGCTAGCAGATCCACCAACACTTTAACACGAGCACAACTAGGTCTAGTTTTCTTGACAGTAGCCAAATCCAAGTGAAGGGGTTTACCTACAGCAGAAGCTAGAGAGAACAAGCATTCTCTGACAAAATAGGTAGGCAACAAATTAGGGAATGAAATCCAAGCCATTACCTTAGGTGTCTCCTCTCCAACTTTAAATTTTGCATCATAGATCAAAGTTCTTAGTTGATATTCATCCCCATACTTATCCTTAACATAGTACACTTCTTTTGACGAGAAATATACGTAATATTGCCATAATGAAAATCGAATCAAAATGTGCCTGTCATGAAGTTATCCAATGTTGCAATAAGCTTTGATACCACACTGCATAGGAACAATTCGACGTATTTCATTGATGTCTGGCCATCAGTTTGAATATTTGCACACAACTGTTTGTTGCAGTCCTTCAATATAGTTCATACGTTCAACTTCTGATTCTGTAAAGCATACCGTTGGTTGTTCTT